TTATGGGCTTGCCCTTCCTGTCTTTTGATGGACATGGCCTCTATTTTTTGGGTGGTGGTGGGGGAACGGGACTTGAACTCAGGGCCTACAGCCTACACCTTGAGCCACTCCACCAGCCCTTTTTCATGTTAGGTATTTTTGAGATAGGGTCTCATGAACTATTTCCCTGGGCTGGCTTTGAATCAGTCTTCCTGATCTCTGCCTCCTGAGTGGCTAGGATTACAGACATGAGCCACCAGTGCCCAGCTACATGGCCTCTCTTGGCACATGCCAAAACTGCCAGACTTTCTGGATCCACAGTGCTTGTGCCAAGAACCACACAGAAAAAGGTGCACACAATGTAAAAGCCCATGGAAAGCAGCTGGGACCAAGAGTGGCCCTGAGCCAAGAACCCAGGGAGGCTCTGCTCCTCACATTTTTCTTGTTGAAGAAAAATGGTGGATTTGAAAGTTTAAGGCTGGGGTCCCCTTCAGGAGTTAGATCCTGGTTTCAGAAGGGTCTGTGGTATTTTTTATTCATCCTCTTTAATCCTGTCCTAGGATTGTGGAAATAGGGGAAGTCTTGTGTTTCAGCAAGGGCAGGGGTCATCCTGCTGGTTCCTGGGCCTAGGGGTCCTGATGGCTACAAAGATGGGACATGGACACACCACCTGCCTTCCATAGGGAAGCCATACAGCTTCCTTTGATACAGACCGAAGGAATGCCTAGCTCAGTGGTTTGAGAAGAACAATTCTTTTCTCACCTCCAAATAAGAGTGTCAGCAATCTGGGCCAGATTTTAAATGTGGCTTTATTTCTTCCTCCTCTTAGTAGCTCCACTCCCATCAATTTAAGTGATCAGTTTTGTCACTCCAGGCAATGCCCTACATCAGAGCCAGCCCATGCTATATGCTTTCTAACAGGCCTGCCCCTAAAAGTAGATGGCCCAGTATAGAGAAGGGTGACCAGATACAGTGGTACACACCTATAATTCCAGCTACTTAGAGGCAGAGATTAGGAGGATTGTGATTTGAGGTCAGCCTGGGTAAAAAGTTAGTGAGACCCTATCTCATCAAGCTGGTCATGGTAGTGTGTGCCTGTAATCCCAAATAGGTGGGAAACATAGGTAGGAGGATCACAGTCGGAGGCCAGCCCAGGGAAAAAAGCAGAAGACCCTATCTGAAAAATAACTAAAGCAGAAAGAGCTGGAGGCACAGCTTAAGTGGTAGAGCACTTTCCTAGCAAATGTGAGGTCCTGAGTTCAAACCCACACCCCCCCCCAAAAAAAAAGAAGAAGGAGGAGGAGGAGGTAAGAGAGAAAACAAAAAGGCACTTTTCCTTTAGACCTGAGAATTGCGTTCATGGCCTGCTGAACTCTGCCCACCCAGCTGGTGCTGTGTTTTTAGGACCACTGTGGAAGCTCCCTGACCTCTCATCTATCCCCATACACCTCCTCACCTTGCCATTCCCCATCTTGAACCTTGAACCAAGGAAGGGGCCAAAGCAGAAATATAGGACAAAGAGGGTAGGTGGGACCCATGAGTTTCCTCCACCTGGCCCTGACTGTGGGACAATGATCTTACGATCTGTAACTCCACCCACTGAAGTCCTTGATGATGTCGTAGCTACCTGCCTTGAGGAAAGGACATCCGAACTAACCAAGGGCCCAAGAGATTCTCCAAGGCTCGTGGGTTTGCATGACCTGGAGGGTTGTTTGTGGCGAAGTAGGATGTTCCCAAGTTCAGGTTCAGGGGTGTGAGGAACAGTGAGGAGAGCCTTTATTCTGAGGCTGGTGGAGAACCAGCCAACCCCACTCCCACTCGCCACCTGACCAGCCCTGAGGTGGCTCTAAACACAGGATGTGGTGAGTGCTCCATTGCCTCCTGGAGCTGGACCCTGCCTCATCCTGTGAGAAGGGGTCTGCAAACCACGGCCACACAAAGGGATCCTGCTCAGAGCAGACCTGGGCTGCCTGGAACCCACAGAACACTCCCCCATGGGGTCTTCACAGAACAGGGCAGTCCTGTGGACTCCAGACCTGGCTTCAGGGTCAGCACACCACGGATTGTATGCACAATGCTCTTTTCATCAGCTTCTAGCCTCCCGCCCTGCCCCCCAAAGTAAAGAAGCATTAATTTAGAGGGAAAGAAGGGGACTGCTCCAACCTTAAACAGGACATACTCTGAGAGAGAAAAGACACCAGACACTCATGACATTGGGTCTAGGTTTGCATAGAAACTCTTCCTTGACAGATGCTTGGGACCCCCACCCTGTGGCTTCACTGTAGCAGAGGGTACAAACACACCATGCCTTCCACACCTACATCTTACACTCAGTGAACACTTGGTAGACAAGCACAGATCCCATGTATCCACTAAGAGCAAGCAGAGGGCGACCTCACAGCCCCATGTTATTGCAAGATGTGTAGCCTTGGCCTTGCCAGGCCACCCTGGCCATGCCACGTGGCTCTCATATGAGCCACGTATGTAGTCTCGTTTCACCAATCCTGCCCTGGCTTGCATTGGCCTGGTTTTGTTTCCCTTTTTCTAGTGGCAAACTTATTGGACACCCCTCTGCTGGTTTGTCTCCTTTTGCACTTGGCCCAGAGGTTCCTTCTGGCCAAAGGAAGGCTCACAGGCTCCCTGTGATGGGGACAGGGTCCACACACAGACTTGCTGCCCTGCCTCTCCTGGCAGCTTCTGTTTTGCTAGATCTCTTAGTCATTCAGCCACTGAGAAAATTTTCCTTCCCCCAACACAGAAGGCTTTCCAGCTGTGCCCTCTATTTTTAACAATGGCCAAGTTCCTAGGAAACCCCATTCCTGTCACAAAGTGGTCACATGGATGCTGGGCTTCCTGCCTGTCCCTTTGCCTTCCACGACTCTGCCATGCAAGGTTCATACAGTCCTGCCTGGTCTGGCCCTGGCTTGCACAGCCTTGTGTGGCCAGTTTCCCGCCTTCCTCTCACAGTTGCATTTACTATTCCACTTCAGAGTTGCTTTTTGCAGTATGTCTCTTCTCTTAGTATGGGTTTCCTATGCAGCACAGCACCTAGCATATCTTAAGGTTGTTCATTCATTCACTCAACAAACATTTACTGAGCACCAAAGGCACTGTTCCAGACACATGAGGTTCACTGGTGAACAATGCCACCTCCTCATGGAGCTTACATTGTAATATGGAAGACAAACAATAAAAAACCAGGGAGTTGCCCAGTTACAAAGTGATAAGTGCTATGGAAAACTAGAGGTGTGTGGGAACAGGGATGCTCCAGAAAGCTATGTTAAATTGAATTTCACCACTACAGTTAGGTGGGCAGATGTTGGGAAGTCTTCTCCTTGGTGACTCAGTTCACACCGATGGTCCACAGGCACGACTTTTGCACTGTGAGCTATGACTACATTTGGTAGATTTCGCTAACCAAAACCTAGCTATAACACATCAGTCTTAATGAACTGGTGAACGTGTCAGGATGTAACACTACAAAATCAGATAGCAGGTCTCTTAGGACTCCTCAGATGTTTTGATGCGTGGCACACAAAGAACACACAATTTGCCACATGCTTCAGTCAGTGGTCACAGTTGCTCAGAGCCAGAGATGCTCCGAGCACAGGGATATCCCAGTGCCCCTGTGACTCACAGAGGCACTCTGGGTAGAAATCAAAGCAGTGGTTGTCCAATGTGAACACAGCTTAAGAGTCACATGGTGTGATTACATTGCAGATGTACAAACCATATACATCTGAGATCCTGGGATCTCAGGCAGAGGAATCTCTTGTCAGTTCTCCCAAATGACCCTGGGGCTGGTGCTCTTAGGGCCACCAGCAAGAGCAACACTGCTACACAGAGGAGTAGTGGTGAGGCACAGTACCTGTTAGCTTATTACAGGTGAAATTGGGAACTATGGAGCAGATGATGTGGGTCGGTGGTCCTCACACTCCGGGCTTGTATAAATGCGTTGCTGCCCACCCCTGCCCCAACCCACCCCCGGAGTCTGGGGGAGTGCTGAGCACCTCATCTAACAACCCGTTGCTGCTGATGCTGCTGGTGTGTGAGGCCAGGCTTTGAGAAGAACTGGTGCAAATCATTCAGGAAGTTCATACCTTAGGAATTTTGGGGGTTTTCAAACTAATTTCACAAAGACATTTTTGGGGTTCATCTTTAGGAAGCTAGGAGTAAACCTTGTTTAGTCTGCTCAGAATACAACAGGAGAAACAGATTTGAGGAACCCAATCAGAATGTGTTTCCCCTCTGATGGAAACACTACTGTGTGACTTATCTTCACATCCCCCCTCCGGCCAGGTGTGTGCTGGTAAAGGTTAAACAGTTGCTTCAGGGGCAATGGGTAGAGGGCAGCTGATTGCCAGTGTGCCCATTTCTATGGTGTCATGGCTGCCACCATGCCAGTGTCAAGATACCAGCGTGACATCGCTGAGGGTGGAGTTGAGAAGAGATGCACACAGTGAACTCTCTGCAACCCAGAGGAGCCAGCACTGAGGACCAACTTCTAGATTCTGGGCTCATCCAGGGTCCAGGTGGCAAGCCCTTTGAGACCATCTCTTTCCTCACATGTCCTGTAAGGTTTTAGCTCCAACTGTGTCAGTAAAGCTGACCCACTTCAAACACCAAGGTCAGGTTGCCTCAGGGTGCGGCAGAAGACTTACTGACCACATAAACCCAACTGAACTAACCCCTCCCATACTGAAGAAATTACTTTGTGAGGTGACCCACCTTCTTAGACAAGGGAATATAAAACGCTGAAGTCTTTCTTTTCCAGGACATAAAACAGAGAGAGACAGGTACAATTCCTCCTGAGGCAGAGCCTGCAAAGGGCCTTCACAGTTCAGATCAAGGTCATAGGGAAGAATTTGGACTAAAGATGAAGCCAACGGTAGATCCTGAAACACATCCAGACACCAAGTTCAGCCCCATTGCCTCTGCAGATCTGTGCACATGTTCCTCCCTGACTTCTCACTTTAACTCAACTCTGCTTCCCCTCTCCTAACTCTCCTTCATCTTTCCAGATGCAGGACGCTATGGGCTATGAGTTACCCTGGGTGTATTTTGTCAGTCTGGTCATCTTTGGATCCTTTTTCGTTCTAAATCTGGTTCTCGGTGTGCTGAGCGGGTAAGCTGACCACTTCTGTGTGCCCTTAACGATGCAGCCGAGCAAGGTCCCAGGTTCCACTATGACCACTGCCAGCATCCTCAGAGATGGGATCCTAACGGCCCAGGAAAACTGGGGGGGGGGAGTAAAAAAAAATCTCCATTTGACCACAAATTCTGATCCATTGGCTGGGCAGGCTGTTTGGCCTCTGATTTGCACCTTGAGGTCCCCGGTCCCACGCTGCTGGGATCAGCGTCTGGGGAGCCGGTGGCTGGCGTTTGGCCGTGCTCGGTTGCTGTGTGTGCCTCACTAACTATCATTCCATTCTTCCAGGTCAATGATGCCGTAGGAAGGGACTGGCCCTGGATCTATTTTGTTACACTAATCATCATAGGGTCATTTTTTGTACTTAACTTGGTTCTCGGTGTTCTTAGCGGGTAAGCAAGACCAAGGAAAAAGGTCTTGGTTTTTCTGTTTATTTTCATTTATTCTTTCTTCTATTCCTGGTGCTATTCTTTTTCTGGCTCTGATGAACCTGGGATAAGAGGTCACCATGGGAGCCTTGAAGTGAAAGTCCTTGGCCTGGCTGGGTAAAGGGTCAGATGCACAAGAGTGAGTGCATTGGTGTGGGTGGTAGACAGTGGAGAAGAGATGGCTGGTCCTACCTGTTCCCTTGTCAAACTTCCTCCCAGTTCCAGGTAGGCAAGATGCTTCTTCTTGTGTTTTAGTGGACTTGGCCACAAGTAGCATGGAGAGGCCCTTGAGTGGGGAGGGCGTGATGGCAGGATTCACACGCGATGTGCTTTCCACAGTCCTACAGATAAGTACTCACTCTCGTCTCCTGAGCTAGTTACTCCTTGCAGGCTAGTAGTAAAGATTTTGGACCATTTTTTAGTTTCTTTTCTTTCTTTTTTTTTTTTTGTAGTACTAGGGATTGAGCCCAGGGCTTTGTGCCTGCTAGGCAGGTGCTCTACCACTTGAGTCACAACTCCAGCCCTCAGATCACTTTTATTCAGTGGTGAACAAGCCAGAGTAGGAAGGGTTTGATTAAAATATAAGTAGGGCTGGGGATGTGACTCAATGGTAGAACATGTGTAGGCCCTGGTTGGACCCCCAGACCTGCCAAAAAAAAAAAAGAGAGATATGTGTATATATATATATATATGTATATATACATATATGTGTATATATAGATATATGCATATTTCCTTTATATATATCCTATATGTTATATATAATAATATATATGTGACATTTATATATTTATATAAATACAAACCAAAAATCTAATTCCCAGTTCTGATTCCCAGTCCAATCCATTCTGGTGTTTCCCTTTCTGAATACAAAAACACTGAACTGTTAGAAGAGAAGTGATGGAATTTACTTTCCTTTAAATCTATCAAATTGGCTTCACATATAAATCCACCAGATTTCAACCCTTGCTCAGATGAGGTTAGTGACAGAAGTGACTCATGGTTGGGGGCATTCAGTGGCCTCAAGGACAGCTACCTTCCCATCATGAAGACCTGGGTGTTTCCTCAGCCCACCTTCTTCTTCACCAGCCCATACCAGCCATGCCAAGGCCTGACACCTAAATGCTCTTGGGGACCTGCTCATGGGTGGCTCACCTGCTGCCTTTGCTAGTGGGTGGTGGGGATTAAATACTCTTGTTTCTACTCTGTTTGAGCCAGGTCAGCCACGTTGCTAGTCTTTCCCAGACACGTGGGGACTTAGCGCTGGGGGGAGTTAGGCATGAGGACTGAGGCTGCTGTTCATTTAGTACAGATTGGGAACTGCGCTTTGACCTTCTGTGGTGGCCAAGTGTGATGCAGGGTACTGAGTTCACTCTCTGGGACAGGGTAAAGGAACACTTCTGGTCCCTTCTCACCCCTTCCCAGGGCAGGTGGCCTATCATCATGCCTTCTGCAAGGTGACTAGAGCTTTCCAGTGGGTAAGAACAGAGCAAAATAATGTAAGCCCCTGATTAGCTGCCTGGAGGGTAGAGGGATTTTCATTTCTATGCTCCAACACAAGAAAATGGCCCTTCTTTATATGTGAATCTCCAACAAGAGAACTGGAAGAAGTCAACCTCATTTTCCCCACTCAAGCTCTGCACTTGGGTGTATAATGTTAGGCACCTCTACCTGTTTTAAACCTCAATTTCCCCACCTGAGAAAATGAAGACAATGAGCCCAGCTCATGGGAGATGATGATGACAAGAGGAGATCCTTCATGCAAAAGACTTAGCACCATGACTGGTATGCAGTGCTTAATAGTGATAACCCGTCATACCAGAATTATTGAATAGAATGATCAAGGCTAGAACTATTTGAACTATGCTGTAATCTTTTAGGGGTTTTCTTGGTGGCCCTGGGGTTCAAACTCAGGGCCTCATGCTTGATAGGCAGGCACAGTTACAGCTTGAGCCACTCCGCCAACCAAACTTTCCTTTTAAAGGCGACGAATGTGAGCCCAGAGGTGTTCAGTGGCTTGTACAATGCCACTTTGTGGGTAAACAGTAGACTTGGAACCAGAACTTGGGCACAGCTTGGCTTCCATCCTCCATCACTTCCTACTAGATGTATGTTGAATGACCTTGAACAGTAACACAAGCCAGAGCCTTTAAAAAAAGATGTAATTCCACTTTCTTCCCCCAGAGATTTGGAACCAAGTCTTAGCAAGTAAAATTCCTCCAGGAGGCTAAAGTGGAGAATGAGGACAAGACCATGAGGGCCCCTCTTCTGGCAGAGTATCTGTCCATAGTCATTCTTGACTCCATAGAAGAGGAGTGACCTTCCTGGTGGTGTCAAAGCAGAGAAGTCAGAGGAGCAACTGCTGATGTTAGAGCCAAAGTGATTTTGAAGTCATGTCTTGGTCCAGTCAGTGCAAATGAGGATAGGTGTTGTAAAAACACCTTCCCAAACCTTGTGTCTAGAAGCTCAGTGTACATTGGCACAGAAGGAGTATGAAGGCTCTTTGACTTCTGAAACTGTGGGCTCAAGTCCACACAAGTCTGCTCTGGAGGCTTTTTTAGCGCCTGTTGCCTGACCTCCCAGTGCTCCAGTCTGCCCCTGGCCACTCCAGAATTGCTGATTGACCCTCTGCCCAGGCAAGAGGTATCTGTCTGGGTGTAAGCATCCCTCCTTTCTGGTTTAGGAGGGCTCTCCTAATTTGTCAAGGGCCAGTCACTCTGACTGGGCACCCTCGGCCCATGCAACAACAAATGGCTGGAAGCTGACTCCTGTTGGCTGACCATATTGGTGGCATCAGTTTCCAATCTGCATCTTGATTAGTCAGGACATCCATGTCACCACAAGAATGTAGCAAAGTCCCCACTTATTCATCAGCTAGCCTTCTAATTAAGCCAACTTTTTAGAGCATTCAAAGAAGTCAAAGAGCCCATGAAATTCACTGTCACAAGAACAGCATGAGCAACCATTCCATACTAAGCCATCCTCTGGGCTCCATGCTTTAGGTACATTAGCTCACTGTATACTCATGACCAGTCCATGAGCTGGATGCTACTCATAACTCCAGTCTACAGAAAGAAGAGTGAGGCTTGTGAGAGGAAGCTATGCCCACTCTAACAGGTGGGAAATGGAGGAGCCAGGGCTGGGCCTAAGCAATATGAGTCCATATCCTCTATCCCTGACCTCCAAGGTGTACCTGCCTCAAAGCCATTTGATTGGTCTGTCCCTTGTTCATAAATTACAGGCAGGAAGTGGGAGGTGAGGAGCAGAAGCTGTAGATGGAAGGCTAGGGGAAAGGCAGGCAGCAGAAGCAATCCACAGGCAGGCTCCTGGACACAGTCTGGGAGCAGAAAGAGTCCCAGATAGGAACTGCAAAGACACCAACTGGAAGATGCAGCAGGGCAGGCGTGTTCAGCATGGGGCTGGCAGCCTGCAGATCTTAATGGACCTTCAGACAAGTGGAGCCACCAGCTCAACAGCACTGTACCCTTGGGACATTCTAGGACTACACAGCGGGGTGTGGAAACCTACATCCATCAATGAAAAGAGAATAGCCCAGCACAGGAACTCATCACACAAGTTATGTCCTTCAGTCAGCAAGGAAAAGTCAAATTGTGCTTACTGTGTTCTGCTCACGAAGATACAGAATGCCAGTCAAGAAAGTTTGCATGGAAAAGGTAGAAATGCAAAGATTTTGGTTGTCCAATGCTCAGATCCTTATCTAGCACATTCACATATCCAGAACACCTTATTTCTGATGAGGCCAGAAGAATATATAACTCTTAGAATTTCTCAAAGTGATTCTGTGTTGTTATCCACTGATTCTCACATCAACCTATGCAAGTCTGAAGGTTGGTATTAGTATAGATAATAAACAATTTGCAATTACTTCCCTTCCAGAAATCTCAGCCTCCGGCCTATTAGAATTAAAGTTATGGCAGTGACAATGAGATTCTCAAAATGGCAGTTGAAGCTGTAATCAGGGGGATGTTTGCACTCTGCAATCTGGAATTTTTGTTTTTAAGTGACTGCCTGTTGGGCTTTAGATATATGCATTTAGTTGGCACAAGGCCCGGATCTCTTGCATAGGTAACCATCTCACCCTTTAACCTACTGTAGGATGGGCATGTCTCTTGCCCAAAAAAGCAGAAAACCTGGTGGATGGGCATTTTGCAACATGGAAATATAACTGGACCATGGCACCACAATTAAGACATGACAAGAAGGCCAAGAAGGAAGCAAGGAAAGGCTGGCACGTGCCCACGGACAGGAGAGAAGAGATGGCAACATGTACAGTGGCTTCTCATTAGCCATAGTACTTTTGTTCCACCTGGTCTCCATGACCGCTGAATTAGTGGGTACAGAACTTCCTATGGGAAGTACAGGATTAGGTCTCAACTGCGAACAACTGGTCCCAACTTTTTGTCAACCAATCAAATTATAGCCTTGTTTTATGCGTGCTTCTGTTTACATACCTTATTTAGTATCTATCATTGATTCATTATCTTTAAACTCATGGCCACCAGCTCTGTAACATGCCTGACAGAGCTTATCTGACACGTATTTTCTACGAAAGACACACCGCAGCCTTCTTGCACCTGGGAACACTAAATAACTCTTCCAGGCTATGCTTGGAATATTAAACAGCAAAATCACCAACAAAAGCCACAAAAATGCAAAAAAGACAAAAGTGGTTCTAAATATCCTGTAAAAAGGACATTTATTTACATGATGAGAACTGAATTAAGAAGGAAAGTGTCATGATGTCCAATGGTGGGAACTTGAGAAGGTGTTTTTGTTGTTTTTTGTCTTTTGCCATTCTGTGCATATTCACAAGTGACTCTGTAAGTGCCATGGGTATTGATTTGGGGGTTACCAATGCATTTTAGCAAGTAGGAGAATTCACAAATAATGTGGTGTTTGGTCACCAAATCAATATTGATTTTCAAAGGGCCAAGAGCCCCAGTAGTCGGCGTTGATTGGATTTCCAACGGTCACCTCATTTTGAATGCTTAATGTGACTGAGCACCAGCCCCCAGCCCTCTGTTCCACCCCTCATTTTTCATGTTGGCCACTGCTGGTGACAGATGCGCTCTTGCCTTGTGACAAATCCCATACTGGTGACTGATTGTCTCGCCAGCTCTGGTCCCTGGGCCCGGTGAGCCCATCAAGCTGGGGCTTCATGTCTTCATTAGCTCAGTCCCCAGAGCAGGTGCATGGCTGGCGTCCAAGCAAGGAGAAAGAGCCAGGCACTGCCAGCAGCACATCCTTCCCCAAGCTGGGCCTGGTGAAGGAAACCTTGGCTCACTTTCCATCCATCCACAGCCTGGTTATGCCCCAAGCTCCACAGGAGCTAACAGGAGCCCTGTGCTACAGAGCTATCTGGGCCACTTCTCCAGCTCCTCCACCCTCAAACATGTCCTTCCTTTGCAAGAGAAACTACATGAAAGCCCATCAGGAACATCCATATGCCTCTATTTGCTCTTCTCCCCATGGGTGTTTATTTAGAGGTTTGGGGGTATGGATAGTGAGCTTTCACTCCACAGGGCAGTTGCAATAAAACAGGACTGAATCATCTGTCCTGACTCCAGTTAGACCCCAGTCCTGTTGTCCCAATTCCAGAAGAAGGATGGGTGGGGTTTTATAACCAGAACTTGAACCCTCTGCAAAGTCACCCAAAAGAGCTAAAGTGACCCCTTACCAAATTCATGCTTATAATCTCAAATCCACTTCAGGAGACAGGGACAGATGGTTTCCATAGCCTCTTGCCCTGAACCAGAGGATACAAATGGGTATAGGCAGTCAGAAGAGGGGCCTTCATGTGCAGTTTTTAGAATTGAATTGCATGGGGAGGAAGTGCTCTCTCAAGTTATTGTCTCCAGAGAGCAAGGTCAAGGCCAGGGTTCAGGGTGAGAGGTTTAGGGAAAGGTTGGGCTGGCCATACCCACTCCCAACAGCACAGGAGGGCAGGAGCAAAGCAAAGCAAACCTCCCATCTTCCTTGTGAGCTGTCAATCTAGCCCCTTTTCCTCGGCATAAAGTTCCTTGGGAAGAAAATGAAAGTACCCGCCAGTTGGCAGGAAGCCCAAGAAATAGCAAGTTCAATCCAATTAGAATTGGATTCAATCAAATTTAAGAGAAAATTCAATCCAATCCAGAGCACCATTAAGGCAGCAGTTGAAGAGAACTCATTAGCTTAAGAGCCCCCACATTCTCCCAATTAAAAAGTTCTCCAGGCCCCTCCCTTGCCCAACCTTATTTCACCATAAAGATGGTGAATGCTAAACCCACACTCTCCTCATCAGCAACAGGCAAAATGCAAACCTGTGTGGTTCTGTGGTGATGGAACTGCCCCTCCATGACAGTGGGCTTAGGACTGAGCTTTTGTCCCTGTAAGGTTGAGGGTCATGTCCTTCAGAGGTACCTTTCCTATAAAGCACTTGGCTTGTGTAAGAAACTCTGGCAAGGTGGTTTCCATAGCCTCTTGCCCTGATCATAGCCCAGGGATTAACCAAGATACCCAAAGCTTGCACACTGTGTACACACACCCACAGACACACATATCAGGGCCACATTTCCCATAGGCCAATATCAAAAGACAAACAAATAATAATAAAACCCTCCTGTTTAGCTGTTCTGGAAGAGGAGACACAGATTCTCTTTGAGAGTAGAGAACTAGCCTTGTTGGTTATTCCCTTCTGCTGCCAGCCCTCTCCTTGCTCAGAAAGTGAATTCAAAGTCAGAGAGAAAAATAAAGACTAGACAACAGAAAAGAAAGAGGCATTCAGTCAGAACTTTCTCAATGGCCCCTTCTTTCAGCAAACCACAGTCCAATTACAATTTCTGTTTATTACTTTAAACTGAATGCATCATTTAACTTTGATATCATCTTGATTTTATGTATTTTTCTATTCTGATGGAATTAACCAAAGAGCAACCCCCAGGACATTTTCTTGTGTTTGGAATCCTTATTGGTCTCCATGAGGGAAAGAACCTTCCCTGGATTAGAAATCCTTCCAGGCATGCTAAGAGTGGCAGGGTGAACAGGAGTCATGAGGATGGAACTTGACGAGACAAAATATCCTAGGTCTTAAGTCAACTGGGATATAGGGTAAATAAATCCTCAACAGTTAGCAGTCTGGGGAAAAAGCCTTGGTCTACCATTTACCAGCTCCCATGGTGTAAATATTCCCAACATAGCCATTCTCAAAGCTACCATGGAGATATCACTGAAACCAGAGTCGGGAAGAGACATGCATGGTTGGCTCTAGCTTATCACTGGTCCTAATACTTTGTGTCACCCGAAGACCCTTGTGAGATGTCTTTAAACTGCCACCCAACACTGGGACAGATGAAAACCATCTTCCCTACCTACTATAGAGGGTTTTGTTTTTGTTGTTTGTTTTTTTTAGTTAGCTTGGAAGGGGGTTCTGGATCTTTGGAGAACAGTCCTTATTAAAAGGCAAAGCCTGTGACCATGATTTAACAAGGGAAATGAACAATACCCATGCCCTTAGACTCTCCAGGCCTATGTCAAGAATGTCTCAAGTGTCTCTTTCATCTATGTGGGATTGAAGACAGAACCTGGGCTGACTAGACAGGTCTCTGTGGGAAGTGGAGCACGTGGGCAAGGTTCTCAGCACAAAACATCTAATACCTGCCTTATCTCCCCTCATCTCCATCTCTCCTGCCCTGCCCACTCCACTCTATCTCTTACCAGAGAGTTTTCCAAAGAGAGGGAGAAGGCCAAGGCTCGGGGAGATTTCCAAAAGCTGCGAGAGAAACAGCAGCTGGAAGAAGATCTCAAAGGCTATCTGGACTGGATCACTCAGGCAGAAGACATCGACCCTGAGAATGAGGATGAAGGCATGGATGAGGAGAGACCCCGAAACAGTGAGCAGCCATCTTTCTGTCTTTGGGCTAGGTTCTGGGAAAGCAAGGAGACAACAACAGGTTGACAACAACAAAAATGTTTACCACCAACCTTTCTTTACAGCGCATAGCCTGTCTTTCTGGATCAACATTTGTCTCATTGATTGCATCATTTGCTACTCAGCAGTTAGTCACAAATAGGAAGTGATTGCTATTAATCTATAAAACCTCATATTCCTTTCAGAATTTTGACCTGAAAAAAACAGTTGGCGTCTGTGAATTCTTTTGCTTAACCGGGCATGCTTCTCCTCCAGGCTCCCATTCTTTGGAGAGGGGAGTAGATTTGCTTTAAAGGTCTGGCTTCCACCAAGCAGCTACCTGGAAAGTTTTGTAGCTGCAAGGGATCCTCTCCCTGGCAGGAGACTTCCAGGCACCAGTGTGCTTTCTCATAGGAAAAGGAATTAAAGTTTCTCTTAAGTGGGTTAGATTCCACGAGTTAGGAAAGTGCTAACCACGAGGTTGGAGGAAGCCCAGAGGAATCTGATAGAACAGAATTAGAGAATGGATACTGAACCTGTCTCATGTATCATGGGGCAGACTGCTGGATAGGTTACAGCTGGAATAGAAATGAGAGTGACAGATGACACTGACTCACAGGTGTCTTTAAAATCATGGAAATTCAGGCCCTTAAAAATTAGCTCAGTAGTTCTCAAGGTGGGATCCCTGGACCAGCAGCAGCAGTCGCACCTGGGAACTTGGTGGAAATGCAAACACTTGGGGACCCACCCAAACCCAATGATGCAGGAACCCCAGGGATGAGGCCCAGCAATCTGAGAGTCAGCCACTCCCCTGGAGATTGTGATGCAGGGTAAGTCTGAGGACTCTTGGGCTCGCTGTGACTACTCTGTTTCTCCTGTGACCTTGACCTCCATGAATATAACCATACTCTTCCTCTTCTTCTGTGTGCAGTATAGTCCTCTCTCTCTCTCTGGTTTTACAAGTTTAAATAGATGTATCTCTGTCCTCTCAAGCAGCCATACTTAAAACAGGTTCCTAAATACTGGGCATCTAGAATAATCAAGGAACAAAACAGGTTAAAGAGCCAACCAGGACATTTGCTGAATGGAACTGTGCCGGTAAGGGCAGGAAGCCAGAATCTTCCCCTATACAGAGAGGGATGCAAGAAAAGCCAGCAAGGAAGGGAAAAGGTGGAGGAAGGAGACAGCCAACGGTGTTAACAGAATCCCTCATTACAAAGATTGACTTAATAAATCTATCAACTGCTCCCTTTCTGATAACTCTGCTCAAGGTACAAATACAAAATTAAAACACAGAAACAACAAGGGACTGGAAACAACATAATTTAATAACCTAGGGAGGCCTTCATGCTCAACTAAGTAGTTTTGCAAGTTGGAAGACTGGGCCTTTGATGGATTATAGCAATGAGCAATGATGCCATTGAGGGTCTTTCTGGAAAAATGCCTGACAGCTTCTATTACATTGCTGATGGAACTGCAGAGTGGTTGATTGGTTTGTGGCACTGAGTATAGTAAATAAGTAAATTGTCCTATGAGCCACAGAGAAGCTTACCTCTAAAACACAGGAATTAAGAAGCCTCTAAAACTCGGCTCCTTGCTCTACTTCATTCAAAGTGGAGCCCCCAGCCCATGATGAATGGTGATGAGCATTTTTCTTAGCATGTGCTATTAAAAACATGCAGTTCCCACCACTTGCTTAGCAGCCAGTTGCCATCCACAGAGACACAGTTACTCTGTTCTCTGCCTTAAAGCCAGAGCTTCCAAGAAAAAGCGTGCTGCTTCTCCATCTTGCCCGTTAATTGAATAAATTCCAAGGAGAGTTCCTGGTTGCTGGACAGATTGCACTGAGAAGGCCCATCTACCCAAAGTTCCGGCTAGGCTGAGAAGAGTATAGTGAACGATAGTCTCTGATGAGGTTCTCATAAGCCCAGATATGGAAAAGATCAGACTCTGGAGACTTGTCCCTCTCACCTTGCTCTTCCTTATGGCTGGAGGAACCTTTGGGGTCTGCTTCTTGTCCTCAGCCAGCCTTGTCCTAGGAGGACTGGAATGGGAGCCTGGCTCCTTCCTGAGTGCCAATGCTGGTGGGACAGTCCCAGGAGGGTGGGGTGAGGGAACATAGATCCAACATAGCAAGGTGTAGACAGTAGATACACAGGATACAATGGTGGAATGTAAAACTTAAGAATAGAGTCAGAAAAGAGTGCATAGTACTGTCTGTTGCGAAGTCCAATTAAAAATAGAGTTGATGTGATTTACTTATTAAGAAATTAGCAGCCTAATAGACTTGCAAGAAAGGTAAGTCTATAGCTTTGAAACTATATTCTTATCTTTAGAACATCATAGTTTGCCCTTTGAAACAAACACAAGAGGAGAAATTTGCTATGAATATGTTTTAATAGAGTAGTATCTTAGCCTTTGAACATTTTAAAAGATTATAGTATTGTATATTTTTCAGCTCAAAAACAGAGTAATTTTTCAAAAAAAAAGATGTGGTAACTTTGTTTTGGTACTAATGACTGTTCCTCCCCTGGTCAGTGCTCATCAGCACAAACCAAATACCACTAGCACAAGGCACTGGGAAGATAGAGCTGGCTGTAGTGCAGGGTTGACTCAGTGCCATGTCCTGACAATCAACTTTCCCATGAAAAGCTGTGAGTCCACTGAAGAACTGGGAGAAATGTGTCGGAAGTTAACAGAGACAAAGCAGGTATTTGGATGAGCATTCTCTTAAATAGAGTAAATTAGAGTGGAGGTGTGGCTCAAGTGGTAGAGCACTTGCCTAGGCAGCACAAATCCCTGAGTTCAAATCCCAGTACTGCCAAATAAATACATAGAATAAATAAAGGGAACAGTAATCTATATATAAACAGAATCCAGTTCATCTGTCCATTCAACTATCCATCCATCCATCCATTCATCCGCCCACCCACCCATCCATCCATCCATCCATCTATCCACAAGTTAAAAATCTTCTCTCACCAGGCACTCTTGTAGGCACTGGTGATATAACCATAAACAAAAGAGTCAAAGCTCCTTCCCCTCGTGGAACTTCTATTCTCGTGGAGAGACAGAATTAAATCGTATGTCAGAGAGTAATAGGTGCCATACAAAAGGGGAACCTTGGAAAGAGGAACAGCGGTGTTGAGAATCTGTGATGTTAGATGGGGCCACCAGGGAATACACCCCTGAGAAGTAGCACCTGAATGAATATTTTCAGGCTGTAAGAAAAGGAGCCACATGGGTAATTTAGGAAAAGAGCATTGTAGGCAGAGTGAAAGTATGCTTGAGGCAGAAGCATGGCTGGTGCATCTGAGAACTGAGAGGAGGCTAATGCAGATGGACACAAGAGAATGAGGCAGAGATGTGGGAAATGATGTCCATGGGAGCCCTGGAGAAGATTGTGTAACTTGTTGACATGAGAACTTGGACTGGAAGAGAGCCAAGTAGGCACTAGAGGTTTTTAGCAGAGAAGTGATGTGATCTGACATGCATTGACAGGACCCTTCTGGCTGTCATGTGCTGAGTGGGATGAGGTGGGCCAGAGCAGAGTTCTGGTTGGGAGGCCACTGCCTCAGGAGATGATGGTACCTTGTCTTGGCAACAATGGAGATAGTTAGGTCAGAATTCAAGGTGGCATCATTTGCTGATGTAGCAGATATACGATGTGAGTGAGAGAAGTCAGCGAGATTCCAAGTCAGTGTAAGAATGGAATTGCCATTTATTGACATAAGGAAAACTATGAGCCAAATAGGTGTCAGGGCAGGAACATAAAGAAAGTCATCCAGACCTCTAAGTTTAAATATCTTCTGTATGTTGTCAATACTCCCAAATTATAATTCAATGCCATATCTTCTCCTGGACCCAGCCTTATTCTCAATCACCTATTCAACCTCTCATGAAACTAGGGAAGGGGCAGGAAATTCACACAATCAGTCCAACAGGCCTGTGGTCCCAAAAAGGTCTGTGGCTAGAGCCTAGCTCTTCATTGGGTCCCCATCTACAGCCATGTCAGCACTAGGCCTGCCACTGGAACTGCTTACAGACTGCATCCAAAAAAGGAGGCCATGATACTCAGGAGCTTCAAAAGGCAGGAGATGGGCAAGAAGGAGCGTGTGCACACTTACCCTCTTCCAGCTTCCAGTGTAGAGCAACCATGTGGGTCATGGCCTCCAAGCCCCTCTTCTGCCTGAATAAAGACTAAGACAGCATTTTGATGGTCTTATCACCATCATGGTCACTTCTGCCCTCCCTCCAGGGTGCAGTGAGCATCCCTTTCGGAGGTATAAATTACAAAACTATCACTGTTGCACAGGGGTCATTGTCACCCATAGAGATTCCCTGCTCCAAGTGACAAGAGCCATTTTCAGTCTCCAATATTAAATCTGCTGGAAGGCATTAGCTTGAGAAGCTATAAAGAAAGAAATGGAAATTTCTTCTTTATTTTTCCTCCTCAAGATCAAAAAATGCATTTATTAAATATCTATCCATATGGGAAGCGCTCTCTCCTGTCATTAAGACAATTTAAATGCAGTCCCAGCCTTCTAAAGCCTGCAGTCTAAGACAGACAATTATGTGGATGAGAGTAAAAAAGACAGACAGACGGTAGAACCAAACATTGTATTTCCACATAGATGAACAGGATTAAATATTTACACCGGTGCTTTTCAGATATGTGACTTGGGAGCCACTTCTGCCATCATCATTAACCAACAGAGCCACATGCCTGCTGCATGCCTGCAGAGTCTAGAATAATGTATTACAGAAATACTGAAATGTGAGGCCTTAGGAGAGCTGCAGGTTGCCCACAAAGGGCTGCATGTGGCTTGCAAGCAGTAATCTGGGTATCACTGATTTACATTACATACATATCAAGGGCAAGTGCATAATTATTTGATCTTTTAAAAAATGTTTTAATCAGTGCAGTCAGCATTTTCCCAGACCTAGCTCCTGATCAGGGTAGCCATGTATCTAGGTATTGAT